GAGCTGTACAGCGCAGGGCGATCATTGGGCTGACAGGCCAGGAGCATCCATCCTCCCAGCAGACCCGAGACTGCGCCTGCTGTGGGCCGGCCTCCTCCCACTGTGGATCCTTTAAACTCACAAGGGCCCGCGGGGAGCCCACTGCGCCTCCCTTTTGCGGAGGAGGAAACTGCCCCCAGAAATGCCCCGTGGCTGGCAGACAGCCGCCCGCTGCTCACCCTCAGGGGAAAGGGCCAGCACACCAGCCTGTGTCGGGAAGTGTCCCCGCCTGACCCGGAGGGAGGCAGAGGTTTCAGAGCACTGGCACTGAGCCAGCTCACCTGTTTTGTTTGGAGTCCATTCATTTATGGGCAACAACAAACCAGACTCTTGCCGGGTGCGAGGGGTGAAAGGAGAGGGAGGCAAACACAGCCCCACTCAGGGAGTTCCATTCCAGTAAGAGGGGGGAAATCAGTCTAATTGTGGCGAGGGCTTTGGGGGAACAGCACAGCAGGGCTGTTTGGCAACTGTGTTTCACCTTGGGGCTTCAATCCTTATTTGAACCAGGTTTTACAAGAATTATTCTAGGTTTCTGCAGCTCACTAACGGTTTATATTGCTAACGGGAAGCTGGCCTGAGGAAAAGCAAACATACAATTCTTAGATTTTATTGTATACCCTCCAGTTCTCCAAGAATTGAGTGTATTTCCATTAATATATTTGATCTCTGCTGTGTTAGTACAGAACATCATAATATTCTAGAGAAATCATTAGATATGAGAGCATGAGACCAGATAAAATTTTACTTTCTTTGAATCTTAATTTTTCCTCATGTGTGCAATGAGAAAAATAATAGCTGAGAGCAGTTAAGTGCTACTCAAATGTTCTTGGTTATTAATTGCAGAACAATTTATTAGGCCTACAAATTCAAACACATTTTATTTTATTTTTTAAAGATTTTTAAATTGGTTTTTTAGAGAGGAAGGGAGAGGGAGAGAAAGAGAAACATCAATCTGAGAGCAAAACATCCATTGGCTGCCTCATGGGGATCAAACCCTCAACCCAGGCATGTGAACCCAGGAATTGAACCCACAACCTTTTGGTGCACAGGATGACTCCCAACTAAGCCACACCAGCCAGGACTCAAACGTATTTTAAAACCAATTTTTTGAAATGGTGTCTTTCAGAATAGGAATGTTTTTTATATATAAAGATTTGAACTGAAAGGAATGCTATATTTGTACTGAACATACTTTTCTGGAAGGGAGTCATCTAAGTCTCATAATAAATTACAAATTAAATTAGAAACATGCCGGAAAACTTATCTTGGGATGGATAGATTTGGTTCAATGGATTTAAAATTTGGCATGAGTAGACGGTTTTATTGCTGGTACAGCTATGGTTCTTTACAAAGAGGGCTTTTTATTGGAGGTGGTAAAATCAGGCTCTTTTAATATGCAAGAGAAATAGAGGAAAAAGAGAACGGAACAAAAATGAAAAAGATGTGTGCATTGAAGAGTAGACACTGTTTGCCTGACTCTGCCTTAGACTTAAGTTAAATGCTACCTAACATTAACTTTTAACTACAGCAGCACTTGATCTTTATCTTAGTGGTGAAATGCCCCTAGAGATCTCCCATTATCTTAGAGGTGTTTCCCAATTCTGACAATGTCTCAAAGTTACTGTAAGTTGTTAATACACGATACAGTTATACACTGTACAAAAATTTTTGGAAGTGGAAGGAGACTTATCTCCTATACCAGTGATGGCGAACCTTTTGAGTTCGGCGTGTCAGCATTTTGAAAAACCCTAACTTAACTCTGGTGTCGTGTCACATATAGAAATTTTTTTGATATTTGCAACCATAGTAAAACAAAGACTTATATTTTTGATATTTATTTTATATATTTAAATGCCATTTAACAAAGAAAAATCAACCCAAAAAATGAGTTCGCGTGTCACCTCTGACACGCATGTCATAGGTTTGCCATCACTGTCCTATACTTTTGGGAGATTGTAGACAGTTGTTTATAGGGCTTCTTTGTAAATGGAATCTTCTTTTTTGCACTATCTTTATAATTTGGAGATGTGTGCCAGCAGGAAAAAAAATGGACTTGGAAATCGCTTATGAGAACTGACAATCACTTCAGGTGACGTCTACTTTTATGAAGTCTGTGAGTTCAGTTCTCCTTTATAGTTTTTGAAAGGAAAACAACCAGTCCTAAGGTTTTATACATTTATTTTAAAGGCAATCTTAAATAGAAATGTACTACATCAAGAATTGCCAATTCCTTGGAGATTCACTCTTAATATATAAGTTTCTGCAGTTACTTTAATCTTATTTCAATTTTGAAAAGGATTCCCTGGCCAGTAAAGTGGTAAACAAGTGGTTTTTACAGATTATTTTCAGGTAATACACGTGGGACATTAAAGGAATTACTTTAAGGCAAGCGGAATTGACAACTTATTAATTTATTTATATAGTAACTGAAAGGTGAACATGGTAGGTTAGCATGGTGGTGCACACAGGCAGGTTAAATAGCCATCTCAGAAGGGATAAAGAAATACTGAATTTATTGAAGGATGGGGGATGGGATAGCCAAAGGGAAGGGCTGCACAGCACTGAGCCAACGGGACATTGGGGTGATGATGGCAGCACCCAGGAGCTGAAGTTTCATCCTTATATGCAGTCAGAAGTGTAGTAGAGTATTGAGAGTAGAAGAGACACACAGGAAGAGGAGTTTCTCCTTTATAGCTGCGAAAATTACCCTCTGGGTAAGTCCTTCCTTTTCATGACTGCTTCGGGAGCTGGAGAAGTCCCACCTTTGCTCAGCTGAAACCCTTACGCTGCCACTTTTGACTAATACCACTGCTTGTGGCAGGCAGCCCATGCTCCTTCCCCAGGTTCCAGATGTACCTACTGCTCAGCTGGCAGGGCCTATTCTTGTGCCAAAGACGCCATTGCTCATCTGGTTGATTCTTGTGCCAAAAACTCTATTGCTCAGCTGGGCCTATTCTTGAGCCAAAGACGCCATTGCTCAGCTGGTTGATTCTGTTACTATTTGGAGGTTTCCATCAGTATTGCTGCTGTAACTACTTCTGCTGAATTTTATTCTTTGCCAAGACTCTTGGTCTTTTTGTTATTTTTTCCAAAGTAGTGTGAACCATGGCTAACTCAGCTCTGCCTGTTTGACTCAATTTTTTTTAAAAAAATACATTTTATTGATATTTTACAGAGAGGAAGGGAGAGGGATAGAGAGTTAGAAACACTGATGAGAGAGAAACATCGATCAGCTGCCTCTTGTACACCTCCTACTGGGGATGTGCCCGCAACCAAGGTACATGCCCTTGACCAGAATCAAACATGGGACCTTTCGGTCCACAGGCCGACTCTCTATCCACTGAGCCAAACCGGTTAGGGCATTGACTCAATATTTTAATGGTAAAAAGCTCTCAGCCAACTCCTGAGAGCATGGGGATAAGCATTCTTTGCATCCCACTGATAAGGTAGCACTGTTCTCACACTGGACTAGTCCCTTATGGGCCTGGGCATAAGAGGTGTGACATTGTAAGTGAACCTGAGGTGAAGCAGAAGAGAAGCTCCAGCAAGGCATAGCATGGATATTCTGTCTTGCCTTCCCCTTAGCTGAGGGATGATCACCTGTGCCTATGTGGTGAATGCTGTTGAAAATAGACAGCATGGAGTCACTTGTGCTAAACCCCATGTCAGCAAACCAGGACTTAAGTTAACTGCAGTTTCAACCTCCCCAGGAATGTAACCTCTGACCAGTCAACCTGAAATTACCTGGTCAGCACTAGTCAGAGAATGTGCTGGACAGACGTCTTTGTTTCCCCTAGGAGAGTGACCTTGCCTGAAACTGCATTCTTTGCTAATAATTTCCTTTTCACGCTGTCTTTAAAATTTTTCCTTTTCTACAGCTCTTAGGAGCTCCTTTCTCCTTATTAGATGAGATACTGTCCAATCATGAATCATTCAAAAAGCCAATTAGATCTTCAAATTTACTCCTTTGAATTTTATACTTCAAAGTTGTCTGTTATGCCTTTGACAGTCCCTTTTCCTACCTAAGTCTGGAGTAACAAATGATATGTAGATGGTATGCTTCTCCATAAATCTTGGAAGTAAAAGGAAATTCCTAGATATCATTGAATGTTTTGAGTTGGAATGAATCTTAAAAGAGCATCTGAATCAAGTACCGTAGTTTCAATGGCAACTCTGATGCCCCAGAAGGTTAAGGGTTCTGCACATGGTCCTATATGGCAAAGCTTAAGCTAGAACCCAGGCCTTCTGAGTCTGGTACTCTTTCCATTTGAAAAATTATGTCTTCAGGCATCGAATGCATAATTAAATCATAGTGTGCGTGATATGCCTTGTAGCGAGAAGGCACTCTATCCATTACAGTTGAGTAGTAAATAAGTGCCTGTATTTTCAGGGAAGTGACAAATCTAGGAGAGCTGCTTAGTACATGTTAATTTCCGTGGTTATCTTTCTCCAAACATTTTCCCATTTAATTGTTTTTCTTTTCTTCCTCAAAGATCTTCAGTTTAGATCTTGGAGGTATATCCACTGTGGTTCTAAATGGCTATGATGTAGTAAAGGAATGCCTTGTTCATCAAAGCGAAATTTTTGCAGACAGACCATGCCTTCCATTATTCAAGAAGATGACAAAAATGGGAGGTATGTTTATTTTTATCTATTTAGTGATTTACTAAACTATTTTAAATCATATTTATTATTTTATGTAAATTTAGCACGTAGAGTTTGAATTCTATTGTACTGATTAATAGGAGGTATTAATTCATCAAGTTAGTATACAAACCAAGTATTTGAGGACTTTCAGGCTCCATTTCAATCATACAGGGGTGGGCAGAACTTGTTTTACATTTGTGAGTATGTGAACCACAGTTTATCCTCTTATGATTATTTATTATTGTATTATTTTCCATAGGAACAACTGTAAGCCTACTTTTGCCCACCCCTGTATTTTAGACCAGTACAAGCTAATTCTACTGTTGTAATCCAGTTCTAGTAAATATTGTACATAATGTTTTAAAGAATTAGCACTTAATCTATGCAAATTTTGTGAAACAAATTAGGAATACACATACGTGCATGCATACTGGAATTAAAAGTGCCTTTTGAAGCCAGTCTTGGGTACTTGGGTACTTATAATTTTTACTATAATTTTGCTTATAAGATTATAGAACCTGAAGCAGCCTTTCTTAGCCACTAATCAGTATGCTATGTAAAGGAAGAATTGCCGTATTTGTGTAAAGGACTAGGATTTTATATGGTTTAGTGTTGATCAGTGTTGGATGAGTCCATATTCATCAGAAAAAGGCTAAATGCTAACAGAACTGTTGAGAAGAAAGCAGCAACAAAAAGTCTAAAATAGAATGCTGAAGTCAGATGCAATGGTTTTGATACATAATAGTATAAGAGTTTTAACAGTAATGTGTCCAAAATTCTCCAATTCAATGAGACCTTCACATTTAATTTTAAAGTAAATTATATAGTAACTTGCTTAGATAGATTAAAAAGACATTGATTAAAAAGAAAAATTAACCACCTATTATATCACAAGGCAAATCAACTAATGCAAAGAAAACACTAGTTTTTTAAAGGCCAAATTCTTAGGCCAGAGCAGTGGTCGGCAAACTCATTAGTTAACAGAGCCAAATATCAACACTACAACGATTGAAATTTCTTTTGAGAGCCAAATATTTTAAACTTAAACTATGTAGGTAGGTACATTGTTATTAACTTAATTAGGGTACTCCTAAACTGGCCTTTGCTAAGAACGTCCTCAATCTGAGGGGTTGACCTCAGCAAACGTACCCCCACTTCTTCTAACGCCACTTCTTCAAAATAGACTCGCCCAGGCCGAAAACCGACTTCTGCGCATGGGCCACAAAGTATCAATCGCACTGGACGTGCGCGCCTGCATATGGTATTTTGTGGAAGTGCCACACTCCAGGGGCCAAAGAGCCGCATGTGGCTCGAGAGCCTCGGTTTGCTGACCAGAGTATAATGATACTTAAAAGCAATCTAATAATAGGGTAATATGCAAATTGGTCGGGACGCCGTCACAGTAACGACAGATCAGCAGGCTATGTGCGCAGCAGGCGCGGGTGGGCAGGGACTTGCAATGTTGGGGACCTGATGGCGGCTGCCGCTTGCCCAAGGCTGGCCCTGGGCTCAGGCAAGCCGCCGATGGCCCACTGCTACTTGCCCAGGGCTGGCCCCAGGATCAGGCAAGCCGCTGGTGGCTGCTGCCGCTTGCCCCAGGGCTGGCCCCTGGCTCAGGCAAGCCGCCGATGGCCGCTGCCACTGCAAGGGCCCAAGGTTCAGGCAATGAGGTTTGGGCAAGGTTCAGGTAAGCTGCAGTGGCTGTGAAGGCCAAGGCTCAGGCAGCCTCACAGCTGGCAGTGGCAGCAGCAGAGGCGTGATGGGGGTGTCGCCTTCCCCTGATTGCCGGGTCACCTCCTACAGAGGGAGGCCAGAGGCAGCAGCAGTGAGGGGGGTGTGGGGGTGGTGCCTTTCTCTGATTAGCCAGTCGCCTCTGGCAGAGGGAGGCCAGACCATGGGGAGCAGACCTAAGCCATCAGTAGGACATCCCCTGAGGACTCCTGGACTGTGAGAAGGGGCAGGCCGGGCTGAGGAGACTGCCCCTCCCCCCCGCCAGTGCACGAATTTTGTGCGCTGGGCCTGTAGTAATATAAATAAAAATCAAATTTCCAGCCTCTGCAATGATTGTCTAAATAATAAATTAGGCAGGTAGCTCAGTTGGTTAGATAGCATTGTCCTGATAAGCAAAGATCCAATCCCTAGTAAGGGCACATACAAGAAGCAACTAATGAATGCATAAATAAATGGAACAACAAATCAATGTTTCTCATTCTCATTCATTCTCTCTCTCTCTCTCTCTCTCTCTCTCTCTCTCTCCCTCTTTCTCTCTCTCTCTCTCTCCCTTCCTCCTTCCCTGCTCTGTCTCTGAAATCAATCAATCAATAAAAAAAAATAATTAGGTAAAGAAGAAATTATACCACAATTATAATAGAAGATCTTGAAAGAAATAATGAAAATGAAAGATGGTGTGAACAGAATAATATTTGGGGTAAAAATATTTTTTTCAAAGCTATACATTTATAGTTTGTGCTATTTTTATTATAAAGAAAGCAGTAATAATAAAATAAGCATTTAAGGTTTTCAGAAGACAGTAAAAGGAAAATAAGTAGAAAACTATGTTATTTTAAGATACATATGCATTGAACTTGAAACAGACATCAGAGCCACCATTAGTCCTCTGTTGGGGAACACGTTGCCCAAGCATACAGGTTGCCAGTGTAGGATTATAACAAGGCTCCTCTGTGCCTTCTTCAACATATATCCCATATGTATACCTTTACCCACGGTTTGCTGTCATCCCAGTGCCTTCCATTCGATCAGCTGTCCCCTCTGCCAGCAGTGATCTCTCCCCAGATATCTGCTTGACTTACCGTGTCATCTCCATGTCTTTACTTGTGTCACCGTCCCAGTGGGGCTTTCCCTGGCCACACTGCCTGCTTCCTTGCTATATACTTTACTTGTTCATTTGCCTCTCCTCACGAGTATGTAAGGTCCGCGAGAGTAGGGATCTGTTGCCTCTTTTGTTCACTGATATATCTGTGACATTTAGAACACTGCCTGGAGCATAGCAAGTGCTTCATGAATACATGTTGAATGAGTATTTGTTGAATGAATAGTCATCTGGGAGTACGGAAAGAAAATGAAATGTAGAAATATAAGATCGTTACACAGCACTAAAGACCCCATTATGGGTGGCTAACTTTATCATAAGCTCCAAATTAAAAATTGTTGCACAAAAGTTAATGGAATGTAGATTACATAGGTACCTCATGTAGACAAGAGAACATGACATTTTTTATCATAGGTATACCGATGTACAAATTATGAATGAAATTTTGAGTTAAGTACATGCTACATAAATATATGTGCAAAAAAAGATGTTATTTTTTTCTTTTCAAAAACATATTTTTATTGATTTTAGAGAGGAAGGGAGAGGGAGAGAGAGATAGAAGCATCAATGATGAGAATCGTTGATTGGCTACCTCCTGCACACCTCCTATGGGGATCAAGCCCACAACCCAGGCATGTGCCCTTGACCGGAATCGAACCTGGGACACTTCAGTCTGTAGACCGATGCTCTATCCACTGAGCCAAACCAGCTATGGCATTGTTTTCTTCCTGATAGTTAAAGGGAAAATAGTCCATAGCACCCACATCAGAACAGCAGAGTATAATATGGAGACTCAGAAATTTTGAGGCAACAGATATCAACATTAGAAGTTTGAGTTTCATGTTTGCCCTCTGTCTTAGTTTGAGCTGCTATTACAAAAATATCATAGACCGAATGGCTTAACCAACATTTAGCCCTGGCAGGTGGCTCTGGTGGTGGACCGTCAATGTCTCTCTCTCTCTCTCTCTCTCTCTCTCTCTCTCTCTCTCTCTCTCCCCCTCCCCCCCCCAGGATTAAAATAACACAACATTTGGCCTTAGCTGGTTTGGCTCAGTGGATAGAGCGTAGGCTGCGGACTGAAGGGTCCCAGGTTTGATTCCGGTCAGGGGCACATGCCTGGGTTGTGGACTCTATCCCCACTATGGGTAGTGCAAGAGGCAGCCAACCAAGGATTCTCTCTCATCATTGATGTTCCTCTCTCTCTCCCTCTCCATTCCTCTCTGAAATCAGTAAAAATATATGAGGAGGAAGGGAGGGAGGGAGGGAGGGAAGGAGGGGGGAGGGAAGGAAGGAAGGAAGGAAGGAAGGAAGGAAAGGAGGGAGGAAGGAAGTCAGTCCTGAAACTTTCTTTAAAAAAACAAAACACAACATTTATTCTCATAGAGCTGGAGGCAGGGAAGTCGAAATCAAGGTGCCAGCAGATTTCCTGGTGTCTGGAAAAGGCCTGCTTCCTGCCTGGTAGACAGCTGCTTTCTTTCTGTCTCTTCACATGGCCAAGAGTAGTCACCTTTTCCCATATCCCTTCTTATAAGGGCACCCATCCCATTCAGGAGGGTTCTACCCTCATGACCTAATTACCTCCCAAAGGCCCCACCTCCTAATATTGTTACATTGGGGGTTAGGCTTCAACATATGAATTTTGTGGGACACAAACATTCCGCCATGGTACTCTCTTTTTGGCTTGAGTTATTTTCACTACATGGGCACCCCATTCAGGCTACCTTGCCTTTGCCAGAGTTACCTTAGGTAATATATACCTTTAACAGAAGGAAATGTATATTCTAAAATCTAGTCTTAATAAAGCAGAAAATTTCTAATTCTAGAAATAAGATTTCCAGATGTTTGTTTAGTCCAAAATAGAATTTTGCCTACAAAATGTACAGTCATTTGTCTTTTGTAAATTAGACTTATAGTAAAAGATGGGTAATAAAGCCACCTGGGCCTACTTCACCCAGGTTGAATTACACAAGAATGTTCAGTTTCTTGTTATGGGAGAATTATAGGTCTTTTCTGCCTATCCCCAGATGCTTTTTATGTTTATAATATTCTGTGGTTAATGAGTAGCAGGAAACAGCTCTTATCCACTGGGTCTAGTTTTAGTTTTATAGAAAGATAATTTGGAGAAGAATGACTAACGATCTTTTTTTTTCTTTTTCTTTTCTCCATAGCCTTTTTAATATATTTTATTGATTTTTTACAGAGAGGAAGGGAGAGAGATAGAGAGTCAGAAACATCGATGAGAGAGAAACATCGATCAGCTGCCTCCTGCACACCCCCTACTGGGGATGTGCCCGCAACCCAAGTACATGCCCTTGACCGGAATCGAACCTGGGACCTTTCAGTCCGCAGGCCGACGCTCTATCCACTGAGCCAAACCGGTTTCGGCTCTCCATAGCCTTTTTAGCTGTTAGGGTTAATAACAAATGCTGTTTCAAACATAACCAATCTGATTATTTTTGGAGAACGATTCACTTACGAAGACACTGATTTCCAACACATGATTGAGCTATTTAGTGAGAATGTGGAGCTAGCTGCCAGTGCCTCAGTCTTCCTGTATAATGCCTTCCCATGGATTGGCCTCTTACCTTTTGGAAAACATCAACAGCTGTTCAGAAATGCCGCTGTGGTCTATGATTTTCTCTCCAGGCTTATCGAAAAAGCTTCTCTCAACAGAAAGCCTCAGTTACCTCAGCATTTTGTTGACGCTTATTTAGATGAGATGGATCAGGGTAAAAATGACCCATCATCTACTTTCTCCAAAGAAAACCTAATTTTCTCTGTGGGTGAACTCATCATTGCTGGAACTGAAACTACAACCAATGTGCTACGATGGGCAATTCTTTTCATGGCACTTTATCCTAACATTCAAGGTGAGGACTCTCTCGATCTCAAGGTCTGAACTTACATTTAGGACTCACACATGTTTTAGAGTCTTTGGCCATGTTCAAAGCAGTTTATTTAGGAACTCCTGCAGTGTTAGCCAAGAAGAAAAATATTTAATACTTATAAAAAGTTTCCTTTTAAAAAAATAGATTTTTATTGATTTCAGAAAAGAAGGGAGAGGGATAAAGATAGAAACATCAATGATGAGAGAGAATCATTGATCCGCTGCCTCCTGCATGACCCCCACTTGAGATCAAATCCACAACCCAGGCATGTGCCCTGACTGGGAATCGAACCGCAACCTGGTTCATAGGTACACGGTCAACCACTGAGTCACACCAGCCGGCAAAGTTTTCAAATCTATTATCTCAATTCATGTGAACACCTTAGAGACAGGTTATATTATGCCTATTTTATAAATGAGGGAGGCTGAGTGGCTGACGTGCCCAGGCTCAATCACTGGAAGTGGCAGAACTGGGACCTGAACCCTGGTTGTTTTGATTCAAGTTTTATGCTTTATTATTTTCCTTGCTGAGACTGAGATGTTATTCCAATTCTAGGTTTGTTTGATTTTTATTACTTTTACTGTGTTATTCACAACAAAGTTACCCAGAGCATTGATTACTGTAGTAGAAGATATATGGTATATATTTAAATAAACTCCCAGATCATGAAAAATCTGCATCTGGGTGGACGCATGCCCTACTTATTACTACAGGTTATCCCTTGTTTACATAAAGGGAAATTACTTTAGATGCACTTTTTCAGCATTGCATAATAACTCGAACACTTTCTTCTCTAACAGGACAAGTTCAGAAAGAGATTGATTTGATTATGGGACCCAATGGGAAGCCTTCTTGGGACCACAAATGCAAAATGCCTTACACTGAGGCAGTTTTGCATGAAGTTTTACGATTCTGTAATATAGTGCCATTAGGGATTTTCCATGCAACCTCTGAAGATGCAGTTGTACGTGGTTATTCTATTCCTAAAGGCACAACAGTAATCACAAATCTTTATTCTGTACATTTTGATGAAAAGTACTGGAGAGACCCAGAAATATTCTATCCGGAGCGATTTCTGGACAGCAATGGATATTTTTCCAAGAAGGAAGCTTTGGTTCCGTTTTCCCTAGGTAAGTGAACTTTCACAGCGGCATAACTTCAGGACAAAGTATAATGGTGGTTCATTAGTATAACATTTTTGCTGTTGTTGTTAATCCTCGCCGGAGGGTATTTTTTCCTCCGTTGATTTTTTAGAGAGTGGAAGGGAGGGAGGGGAGAGAGAGACAGTGATATTGCTGTGAGAAAAACACATCAATTGGTTGCCTTCCACACACGCCCTGACTGGGGCAGGGACGGAACCTGCAATCCAGATACACACAAATTTCGAACCTTGAACAGAAATCGAACCCATGACCCTTCAGTGTGAGGGTTGACATTCTAACCACTGAGCACCCGGCCATTGCATTAGTATAACATCTTAATCTGAAGCTCTCTGTTGTAGAATTACATATTTCAACTCTGAAAACATAGCATTGATTCTTACAGGAGAGAATAGTTTAATTAGAGGTCATTAACACCCATATCTACTCAGAAATAAACAAGCATTAATTGAGTATCTAGAGAGAAACTGGTGAGAGCTCTGGCTTCTGAAACATTTTTGTCTGTGGATTTTTGGCTTGTAATCAAAACTCCAAGAGCTAGAAGGTCAGTAACAAGTAGCTTGAGGAACAGATCCAGGGAGGGGAATGACTCATAATTTGAAGTGAAACAAGAATCGAGCTCTCTTGGCTCCTAGTTTATTATATCTCTTTTCTAAAAATACTGCTTCTGCAGTGAAAAGGTGCACAGATCACAAGACCCTTGGGAGATGGACTGGAAACTCTTTAATTGGGGAAGGGTACACATTGAGTCATCTGAAATGAAATGACCTTCTCTTGAATCTATAGAACAAAATGTCACACTTCAAATTAGATCTTTCACGGCATACCTCAGGCTCTGTTGCAACGTGCAAGGGATGTGGGGGAGGGACTAATAAGTTTACAAAGTCCAGGAAGGTAAAGAAATGGATTCTGGGAGATGAAAAGCCAACTTCTATTCTTTGGAGTTTAAGGAAATTCTTTAGTAAGAATAACCTTTTGTAACTTTTTTTAAATTCCAGATTTCCGGAATTTAGACATACATTTTGTAATGTATTAGATATACATTTTGGATTTTAAAAAGATGACAATGTCTGTTGTTTTTTTTTTTCTGTTTAGGACGAAGACACTGTCTTGGAGAACAGCTGGCTCGGATGGAAATGTTCCTGTTTTTTACAGCATTGCTTCAGCGGTTTCACTTGCATTTTCCCCATGAACTGGTTCCAGATCTGAAGCCCAGGTTAGGCATGACCTTGCAGCCCCAGCCCTTCCTCATCTGTGTGGAAAGACGCTAAAAGGGCACAATGCCCTGTGGAATGAGGTCATATGTTCACCTCACCCCTGAACCTAGTTTAATCATTGTATGTGTTTGGACAAAAGCCACAGCATCAGAAAGTTAACACAAATGTGTCTTTATTTCATTTTATTTTTTTAAATGCAGATTATGAGATTCTGCATTACTTTTTAAAAAAATGTTTATATTGATTTCAGAGAAGAGGGGAGAGGGACAGGGAGAGAGAGAGAGAGAGAGAGAAACACCAATGATGAGAGAGAAACATCGATGGATGCCCTCTACTGGAGATCAAGGCCACACCTTGTGCATGTGCCCTGATAGGGAATCGAACCATGACCTCCTGGTTCATAGGTCAGTGCTCACTCACTGAGCCACACTGGCCAGGCCACACAGATTTGATTTTTTTCAAGCTTTTATGACTTCTACGGTAGAATTATCTCTTGAGGAAAACAAAGGTGCAAATGCCAGGTGTTGCTTAAGATACTAAGATTTGCCATGGTCGCCTTAAGCAGAGCTTGACTTTTCAGCCTCTTGTTGAGCACTAGGAACCCCTCCTTCCATCTTGCTCCTGTCCTGGGGGCTTTACTTCCAAATGCCAATGCCAGCTCCCTTCTGGTCAGGTATGTCATTAATAGTTTGTGCGGTACTAGTCCAGTTTAATAGAGAACTAAAGGAGAAATTAGAACTCAAATGAGTTTGGACTACAGAGACATTTTAGACATGGTGGCAGATGATAGAAGAAATATCTATGTATTTAATGTAGAACCTTCCAGTGCTCTCAAATCTTGCTCCCTGCTACGTCTTCATACTGAGTATCCATCCCCAAAGCAGCAGCTTACAATAATGTATTTAAAATATAAACAAAATGTAGCAATTAATTCTTGGTAGGCACAGACGATTTACATAGTACCACTTTTTTCCAAAACCAGTCACAGGGCTTAAAGAATGAATTCTTTTGACTTTTATAGGTCTTTAAGCATTTCCACAATTACTGTTATATGAGGGACTTCCTACTGATAATTATGCCAGGAACACAAGTGCAAACTGTGACTGTCCTGATCAAACGGGTATGTGTATTCCAGTTATAGGTTTCTGTTTTAAAATCTTAATTCTTCTAAAGTTGTACATTAAGGGTTCATGCTCTCATAACTGGGCCCATGAATAGTTGCAGCCTCAGAGTAAGTGCACAGACAGTGACTTCCGTTAAAATATGTTCCCTTTTTGTATGACATGGGGAATAAGAATGTATGTGTGTATAAATATGCATTATGCACTTGTATTTGAATAAAAAGCACTGGCTAGATTAATGTGAACCTAATGAAATTGGTGATTTCTAAGAGACTGAGAGAAAAGGGTAAAAGTGACATCTTAGTGTGTTTGACTTCCATTAATTAAAATTTTGATTATATACCAGTAATTATATTCATTTATATGTAATATATAATAAAAATATGTATTAAATATCTACACTAATAAAAGAGAAACATGCAAATTGGTGTCACTCCGCTACACCCACCAGCCAATCAGAGGGACTAGCAAATTAACCCAACAAAGATGGCGGTTAATTTGCATACACAGGCGTGGAGCGAAGGCTAAAGGCTCCGGCCAGAGTGATGACTGAAGACTGAAAAGGCTTGGCTTCTCCGCTGCAACTGCAAAGCCTAGCCTTGAGGTTTGGCTGCCAGAGGGGAAAAGCCTAGCCTTGAGTCTTGGCTTCTTCACTGCGGCCGGACCAAAGGCCTGGGTCCTGGGTGCTGGAGGAAAACCGATGCCAGCAGCCAGGGGAAGGAAGGCCTATTGCGCGAATCTTCGTGCAACGGGCTTCTAGTATAATACATAAATGAATAAAATTAAAGCCACAACGATTTAAAGATATATTTTTAAAAATTAAAATAATTTTTTTACAAAGCACTAATTAATACCCAGATTAAATTGGAATCATTTATTTTTTTTTTTTTTTTTTTTTTTTTTTTTTTTTTAATATATTTTATTGATTTTTTACAGAGAGGAAGGGAGAGAGATAGAGAGTTAGAAACGTCGATGAGAGAGAAACATCGACCAGCTGCCTCCTGCACATCCCCCACTGGGGATGTGCCCGCAACCCAGGTACATGCCCCCGACCGGAATCGAACCTGGGACCCTTCAGTCCGCAGGCCGACGCTCTATCCACTGAGCCAAACCGGTTTCGGCAAATTGGAATCATTTAAAGGTCCCAAATGATTTTAATGTGCAGCTTGTATAAAATACTATCTTAAGATTCTCCAACTTTCCAAAACTGATACCTGCAGTAATAAAAAAATATCTAAATAGTCCTATAACAAATAAATTTAAGTCATACTTTAAGACAGCGGTTCTCAACCTGTGGGTCGCGACCCCTTTGGGGGTCGAACGACCCTTTCAACGGGTCGCCTAAGACCATCCTGCATATCAGATATTTACATTATGATTCATAACAGTAGCAAAATTACAGTTATGAAGTAGCAACGACAATAATTTTATGGTTGGGGGTCACCACAACATGAGGAACTGTATTAAAGGGTCGCGGCATTAGGAAGGTTGAGAACCACTGCTTTCAGAAAATGTCAACAAAGAACATTCTAGTTTTAATGACAATCCTATACACTTTTAGAGATAGAAAATGACATCTGCCCAACTGCTTTTAATGCTAGTATAATTTCGATGCCAAATGCACTATCTATATACAGAAAGAAAAATATATGTCAATCTCATTTATGCACAGAGACGCAAAAAAATATATAGCATGCATACCAAATTGCCTCTTATAAAGACACCAGTCATATTTGATTAGAACTCTCACAATGGACTTATTTTAACTTAATTAACTTTTTAAAGGACCTGTCTTCCAAGGCAGCCACATTCTGAGATACTAAGGGTTAGGACTTTAACATATGAAGGGGGTGGAGGGGGTCGCTAAGCTCATAACACCAGGTAATGAAGAATTACAGGGCCGCCCTAGCCAGTTTGGCTCAGTGGAGCATCAGCCTGCGGACTCAAGGGTCCCGGGTTAGATTCCAGTCAGGGGGATGTACCTTGGTTGCGGGCACATCCCCAGTAGGGAGTGTGCAGGAGGCAGCTGATCGATGTTTCTCTCTCATCCATGTTTCTAACTCTCTATCCCTTTTCCTTCCTCTCTGTAAAAAGATCAATAAAGTATATATATAAAAAAAGGAATTACAGGGCCAAGAATGGGCTTCAGTAACATTGAAGCTAAGCCAGCCGTGGGCAAACTAAATTGTGAACCAAATCTGCTGCCATTTGAAATGAATAAAACTAAAAAAAGACCGTACCCTTTTATGTAATGATGTTTACTTTGAATTTATATTAGTTCACACAAACACTCCATCCATGCTTTTGTTCCGGCCCTCCGGTCCAGTTTAAGAACCCATTGTGGCCCTCGAGTCAAAAAGTTTGCCCACCCCTGAGCTAAGCTCTGAATCACCTCAGTCCCTGACTGGATTAAGATGATTCAAGATTCCCAGCAGCTTGCCAGAGGCAATCAGGTCTTCTCTGGAGAAAAATGAAAATCGTAGGCCTCAAATATTTTTTGAATATTTTTATATACAGTGTTGGCACTCAATAATAACTAGCATACAAGGAGACAAGGTATCGATTGAAACCAAAAGAAATAATAGACAACAGAAAAAGACCTTCGGCAGATCCAGATATAAAATCAGCTGCACACTTTACCATGAACATGCTTAATATACTGGTAGTGCTCTACCATGATTCTGTTTACTAGGTGGATTTGCTCATTCCAACTCTACCCCACCCCCATCCCCATCCCCAAGTATTAACTGCTCCTACCATTGCCAGGAGAACTGTCCTCATTTGATGGGGTCGTCTCTCCTAGGACAGTGGTTCTCAACCTTCCTAATGCCACGACCCTTTAATACAGTTCCCCATATTGTGGTGATCCCCAATTTCATTGTTACAAATTGAACATAATTAAAGCATAGTGATTAATCACAAAACAATATGTAATTATATATGTGTTTTCCGATGGTCTTAGGCGACCCCTGTGAAAGGGTCGTTCGACCCCCAAAGGAGTCTCGACCCACAGGTTGAGAACTGCTGCCCTAGGAGGTTAGCATGAACTCCCTTCCCTCCCCCCACTCCTCCCCCGCTTCTCCTCCCTCGAAGGCAGTAACTGACTAATCCAGGAGTATTTAAATCACACCCACAATCCTTGCCTCAAGGAGGACAATTGTGTGCTCCAGAGTTTCATCCTATGGGACCAGGGTAAGGACTTTAACCACATAAACACCTTGAGCTTCTCCCATGCCCCTTCCTCCTTCTCTTACAAAATTTGAAACCAGACAACCAGTGGGTCTGTGGTGCCTGTCACTACTTGAGCCAATTGAGCAGAGATGGGGTTGAATCATATAGGAGCATTTATTCCAATAATGCCAGCAGCATGGGAGAGCAGCAGGTCATCCATGAAAATCTCCCTCTCCCACCATAAGCCAGCTGCTTATATGGGGTAGAAGGACAAAAATTACAGGAGAAGTAGGCAAAGGGAACAATAATGAATATACAAAAGGAATAAGGCAAAAAGAATGAAAATGGGTATAATAGTTACAGATTACAGGCAATGTGGGCTAGGGGTTTGCAAAGGGCAGGCACATCCCAGACACCATTGTTTCCTTTCCGCAACTAGATGGTTAATCTTTCCATGATAATAGGCAGTTCTCAGATGGGAATGGACTGCATTCAAGCTTGACTCCCAGATCCCCGGGGGTGTACAACTCCCAGCCAGGTTAGAATATGCTTTCTTTAATCAGAACCGAACCATCACGGTTAACGGAGTGTGATTAATACTTCTTATAACTATAGCTAGTCTCCACTATTCTATTTCTCCCTCCTGCCCATAAGAGTTTATCTAAGAGCTTTCTTCAATAATAGGGTAACCGGACAACCAAGGGGTCCGGGCTGCCTGTCACTACTTGAGCCAATTAAGCAGAGACAAGGTTAAATCATATATGAGCGTTTATTCCAATAATGCTGGCAGTATGGGAGAGCACAGCTTTTGATAGATCCACAAAAATCTTCTCTGCCTCTCCCCATAAGCCAGCTGCTTATATTCAGTAGAAGGACAAAGATTACGTGGGAAAGTAGGAATTACAGGCACGGGAAAGTAGGCACAGTATAATATCATTACAGGTTATAAATCATGCAGGCTGGGGGGAG